TCTCTCTCTCTCTCTCTCTCTCTCTCTCTCTCTCTCTCTCTCTCTCTCTCTCTCTCTCTCTCTCTCTCTCTCTCTCTCTCTCTCTCTCTTCGTTCACCTTCTCTCATCCTCCAGCTTCTGGTGAAGCCCGATGGCCGATCCTCTGGCTTCCTGGTGAAGCCCGAGGGTCGGTTCCTTTTTTCTTTGAGGGGAACTCTGTCGAAGTGTAAGTTCGTTGTGCTCGAGGCTGTGGTTGTGTGCTGAGGTTTGTAGTCCACGTTCCTTCGTGACATTCTTGCCTCCCTTGTGCTAATTCTTGCTTCGTTCCCGTTGGTATGTAAACCCTCTGCCGTATTGGGGAATGACTAGGGCCATCAGATGGAGTTCCTTCGTCGTCGCAAACGTCCACCCCGAAGGTGGTCGGTAGAGCAGCAATGTTCCGTGGAATGGAATGCGCGATTTACTGGTACGGCGGGATTAAACAGCGTGGCTGTGGGGCAGTTATTTTCCTCAAGGACGATGCTGGAAAGTTCTACGTCTGTGGCGGAATCGACAGTTACAACGTGGATAAATTCGCCGGTGAGGAAGGGTACTACGATTTCCACTTGACCACATGCTTCGACAGTGGAGGGATCGAGATGCCTGGTAATTACAAGAAAGTGTCGCTGCTTCTGTCGAGGTTTGAAGGCTTCGGAATAAACGCTGCGTCGATGCCCCCGTTCGATAGGTCGAAGAAACTGAAGAGTGTTTTGATGGTGGGACCGATCGAGTTCGTGAAGAAAACACCATGCTTCAAAGTCGCGGGCTTTAAAGTGAAGGTGAACAAAGATTTGGAGTTGTTGACACCCTTCGTGCCGATGGGTACTGCGAATGATGTGCTGACGGACATTCTTAGGACACACAAGCACGGGGAGTCTAGGCAAGGAACACTGCAATCCGCTCTCACTGCTGGAATGCGAATTGCTGAATGTGGCACAAGGGGGAAGAAAGTCTCACAATCTGGGAAGGTCAGCGCCAGTGAAAAATTTCATGTTCCCGAAGGCCCGGGCACAGATGGTGGTGCTCAAGATGGGTGTTCACGTCGAAGGGAGAAAAACAAGAAAGCATCCAAAACTGATAAGACGTCATCTTTGTCTGGTTCTCGGTCGCGACTTCCCGCCGCAGCTTCGTTGTGTGACAATGACGGCAACGATGAAGAGAAAACAGAAAGTGACAACCGCGATGTGCAGTCGTCTGGCGACTGTTCTATGATGATGATGACAAACAGTCAGCTGAAAAGGGTGAGGGGGAAGGCAGTTCGAGCGATGATGATAGGGAGGAGAGTGAAGATGATGGGGAGCAGGGTAAGGACGGAAGTGAGGAGGGCGAGGGAGAAGGGGGGGAGGGCGAGTATGAAGACAACACACGGACCGATGATGGATTCTCTGCAAGATGGCATGTTAATAAAGACAAGGGTAAGGAGAGCGAAGGGGATGGCAGCAGTGGGGACAAAGAAGAGGACGGCGTCGGAATCGGCACACAACCATCAGCAAACTCTCGCAAAAGAAAAATGGAGACTGGGAGATACGATGGAGGAGAGCAGAGTCGGACAAAGTTACTTGGCCTAGGCGCATCTCACAATGCATTTGTGCAACACTTAGAAAGGGAATCCGAGAAATCTGCAAAAGGCAAGCGGGAGCGGGAACGACACACCAAGAAGGTGAAGAAGACAGTTAGGGTCGAAGGAACAAAAGAGGTCGCTGACTCTGGTGATGAAGGAGTTGGGGTTGATCCGAGAGATAACACCGTGAAAGCCGGAAAGTTACCGTTGCCAACCTTCGACACCACAACATGTTTCTTCCTCGAATACGACGATGATGGAAAAGCAGTGGAACGACATCAAGAGATATACGTCGACTGCATGAGAGTTTTGCCTTGCCCTGTCGGTGGGCGCGTGCAGTACAATCACAGACCGTTGAATGACATGTTGGTCGTTTCTATCATGAGAGCGATGAAGCTGCCAGAGAAGAAAGGAGAGTGGGACATGGCCACATGGATATTGGCCCCTGTAGAGGAGGTGAATGTTGGTGATGAAAAGCAGTAGGCGCGGGTGAGACCTGAGCGTTTCCGCGCGGATCACGCACACACATACCATTGGTATGCGATCGGTGGACAACACACGGCAGAGGCTTGTCGTAGACTGGTTGCGGCCAATTCTCCCGCTACACAAAAATGGGGTGTGCATTCATGGCTTGCTCGTGCTGTCTATTTCGACGACGACCATCTGGATGGCTATGCTCATATTTCGACTTTCGATAATACAAGGGAGACACAAGCTACCCCGGATTCATTCCGAGTGTCGGTGAAGAATATAAGAGACTTGTGGAGTGATATGGGGATGCCTTCAGGCGATTGGCAATACGTATCGCTGGAAGCAGATAAAGAAACCATGAGGGAGAACTATCAAAAGTTCATACGCAAAGCGGTCCGACTAACTGCCGACGCAGAGCTTCGGAGTCAAACACTGAAGACGACGTACAAAACGAACTGGACAAACTTAGTGAGATCACATCTGACATTGGCAACAGTTGGAAACAAAGTATGGGGACTCCTAAACCGATTCTTTGACTCGTGGGAGGCAGGACTGTTGCCCGACAAGACAGGCGTGCCTCCAGTGGATCAGCAAGGAAAACAAGTCGTGATAGCAGGTCCAGGTCCATGTGCGCTTACAGTAAAAGGCAAGAAGGAGCTTGTGCACTACGTTCAATCGAACAAATCGCCTAATGGCTATTACGTCTGCATTAGAGATCCTCCGCAAAATGCATGGAAGGTGATTGGCGACTTGACTGTTAGGGAAAAGGAGATTGTGTTAGATAAGATATTGGACTGCCAGGTGGTTGTCACAACGGGTCGAACGTTCAACAGGAACTTGCTTAACATGGATGATATTCGGGTGGAAGTTCGGCGTGAGAGATGCATGATACGCCTCTTCAATTATATAGTTTTCAAGACGGAAGGTCGCAAGGAGGAGGAGTGGAATGATGCATTCTTCTGCGGTTATTCACAAATAATGAAGAGATTTGGCCCGTTGGGACTTACAAAGGAACAATGGGAGGAAAATAAGAGGAAGGTGCCAGCTCACAAGGCCAAAGATGTGCCAAAACGTCTGGGTGGCATCGATGAGCCAAAGGTGGGGAAAGTAGGAGGGTACAAATTGACGCTCGTGAAATATACTGAGTGTCCATATTATTTGAAGGTGTTTATGCATGAAGTGATCGGTGTCATTGATCAACTAAGGAACGAGCTGCGGCGCATAAGTGCGAACGCGCGGCACATAATGTGGGATAAAAATAATGATCACACAACGTTTCTTCCCATTTGCTTGGCCCCGTACGAGGCACTGCAACCTTCAGAGGAAATCACACGTGCTGTCAAAAAGTTGAATTGTCGCGTTGCGGTCCTCGACATTTGCCCACGTAAGTCCACAACGCCACAAGACTTGTCAGACGGGAGATTTGCTGAACTTCCGGAGATGATGAACACGTTTTGTGGAACGGATTGGGTCATTATCATATTCTCAACGTTGAGATTGGAGCAAACAGTGTTGAAGAACGTGTTGCGGTGGGATCACGTGAAAGTGGTAACAGGTCGTTGGGAGAGACATTTCGGTAAGGACCAGTATGTTGTTTYGACTGGYAATCTYCCATTGCGCCCTCRGGACTGCATGACCGTTGTCATGCATGCGGCCGACAATGACTTCAAGAAGGTCACTGTGCAGCCTCCGAACCATGTCACCTGGTTTGATGATAATATGAAAGAGGAGTTGTTCGTGCAATGCACGAATGAACATGTTGGGATATCAGGCGGTACAAAAACCATATATGGGCAGTGGGAGAGAGAGCCGAAGAGAGTGAAGGACATGTGCAAATGGTTTGCAAAGGAAGGCGAAGGTGTGTTGCTACTCGGGAATGTGCAGGCAGGGTCAGTGTGTGAGGTGTTGCGGTCAGGACAAAATGTTGTTGCATGTGACGCCAGTTCCACAATCATCGATTACACGTCCACATTCCTCGATATCCAAGTCCACAAGTCGGAAAGTCATTGCCACTTCGAACGACCCAAGACGCCGCGCCTTCTAGACAGAGACATGTATCTTAAGTTTGGCAAGAAGAGAGAATCATGGTGGAGATACTTGTTTTGTAATGCACCAACGATCACTAAGGACATCGATTACATGCACCGGAAAGTGTTTGCCATCCAAAATCTCCAAGGGTACCACGGGGCTAAAAATGGTGCAATCGAAATATTCATAGGTCGGTGTGAGCGATTATGGTTCAAGAAAAAATAACACAGATTGCGCGCTAAGGCATACGCCGACGAGCTGGATGCGGGTGAGCACTTCGATGTACTTGACAGCGAGGAAGAAACAATAGATGATGATATAGATTTGTCGATGCCGGGTGCTCAAGAAGAGGTCCAACATACATTGGAGGGCATTGGTGATCGTCAGCCAATGGAGTGGACAAAAACAAATGTCGTCCCAAGTCGGGAGAGCATTCGTGGTGGGGAAGAGAGGTTGTACTGCACAAGAATGAAGCGGAGTGTAGCAAACGATCTCCAAGGCCAAGATTGTGCAGGTGATGTGAGCAAAAACAGCAGCAATGAAGGGTTGGAGCCACAAGCGACATCATCGAGAGGAAATGAACCACCGCTCCAATCAAAACCCAAGGAAACTACTGTAAAATATCCAGGGATACTGACTCAGCTGGACACTGTATATGCAAGCATGGGTCTGTCGAAGCTCCCAAGAGACAAGCACTGTAATCTGTCCCGAGAGGAGAATGCGCAGCCTGGCGGGATGGACGRCAACACCATAAAGTTCACACTTCCCCMYGAAGAGGAMGAAAAATTGATGCCGGGGGATAAAATTCGGGAGGATATGAAGGAGTTCACCGGAGGCCCGCACTTCCTGAGCCACATTGGGACATTGGTTGAGACAGAAGACCACAAGTGGGGCCATCATATATTATGGCACCCGACAGTTTTCGAGCCCTGCGTGTGGAACGGGAAATGACACATGGCTTTGTTCATCGCTGGTGAGTGGAAATTGAGAAAACGTCTATTGAAGTGCAAGTTTTTGGAGATCGCAAGGGAACAAGTTCGTATAAAAGTGCGGGAAGCCAACGACGGATCAGATTGTCTTGCACAACAGGCATATGCCGACACATTTTTCGAGAAGCTGCGCGGGGAAAACTTGCTTTAGTACAGCACAAGCTTTTACGATCTTGATTCCAGCGTGGCGAACTGTCATGTCCAATGGAAGCTCGCAAGTCGCGAACCGGGCCACAAGTTTGAAGGCGACATACATCTTGGTAGCAGTCAACAATTGGTCGAAGAAGGTGGCCACGCTTCGACAAGTGGAGTGGGACTTCCACTCGCGATCACACTGTAGAGTGATGACCACGCTCAAGAGAATTTGAAGATGGAGATTTGGAAACAACAAGAGATACGACGCGGGCTGAAGATCAATCATCGCAGCATGCATCGCACCAAGAAGAATCTATGGTGGACAAAGAGTCGGCGAAACACTTTCTAACAATGACATCCCCTAAGGTCTGCACGGGATCAGGAACACAAATGGTCACAGAATCAAGCTCCATGCAAGGAACTGAGCTGACAAGAGAAGAGACCTTGCCGCATCAGGAGGGAAGAGAAGGTTTGCCAGGGGGCATACCTGATTTGATGCCTGGGCTGCAGTCTAATAGCGACGCCCCGCGTGCTATGCAAGGACAAGAGGAAACATTCAAAGAAGGTGGTGAAGTTAGTACGCAGCGGATTAGTGAGTCGTATCAAGAGGAAAAGCGCAAGAGGGCGGATGATGACGATGTCATTGACATCAGGACACAATCAGGTGAGCAGCGAGAGCATAACAAGAACAAAGAGGGGAGACAGAATGAGAATGAGGAAGAGGAACACCGTCATGATATACAGCAAAAGAAGGATGAAATAAGCAATGAGAAGTCAAGGAAAGGGGACACCACAGACAATGTCGTGCCTAGACGTTCAGGGAGACCCGTTGCAAAGAAGATACGGCTTAACGACTAGTTTTGTTGATGGGGCGGCGGCACGCAAAGACAACTATACTCTAATAACGGACACATTGTTCGATGTTTTATTAATATTAATTCGAGCCGGGTCAGACGTTTGTATGTTTGTTGCCGCTCCGGCCTCTAGTTCGGTACATGTACATCCTTAAACACAAAAATTACTCTCTCTCTCTCTCTCTCTCTCTCTCTCTCTCTCTCTCTCTCTCTCTCTCCAACTGACATTTCGTTAAAAACTGATATTTTTTTCTAAATTTCATTGCTCATTGGGTGAGAATGTGGTTATCTTGACTTCTCCATCTGATGTACCTCAACGTAAAGTACCGTCCACATATATCCAATGACCAGATCATCGGGTGTCGCCATGACACACGATGATCTGATCATCCGACGTCATAGGGGCATAAAAACACTAAAAAATTTTGTTTTTTTTTGTACGCTCAATTTCGTGAATTTAGAAAGAAATGTCAGTTTTAACACTGAACCTATAAAAAACATTACCTTATATACGTGCAAATTGTAATTGAATGATATCACATGTTAACAACAAGCAATTTCATTGTCATGTGCAGTGGAACAGAGATTAGACGTCCAAGACGTACGCCGCTGTGAACACGGATGGACTATTCAATTAGCGACGCATGCGCTGACCGACGTCGAAGAAGATGCCTTGCGACACTTGGAAACTAAGTTCAACAATTACGAAATATTGTCAAGCACGAAAAATCCAGGGACGCAAGAGAAGTAAAGGTTCACGTACCACGATTTCAGTGTACTCATGAGTGGCAAAAGATGGTTAACCGATGATATTATAAATTTCTACATGAATATGATAAAGGTCGACAATATATGTAGAACTACACATCACGAGTGCGATACGCCATCAAACAACTCCGCTGCGGACGAACACAGATTAATTCCAAAAACATTGATACTTAACTTTTTTTTTTTTGTGAAGCTTTTGGATGAAAATTTCGGATACCACTATGACAACATTGGTAGGTGGTTCAGGGAGGCGGTGATCGCAGAAAAAGACATGATCTTAGCCCCATATCACAATATTCATAAGAAGCATTGGACACTTGTTGTAGTGGATCTCAAGCGGAGAGTGATCGAGTATTACGATTCGATGGAACCAGACGTAGAGGTGGCAAGAAAAGTAGTCAGCAACGTGGCGCGGTATGTGAAGGAGAGGTCATCGGAACAGGGAATGGAAGTGGACGTCACTTGCTTCAAACAGAAATTGGAGGTGAACGGCATCCCCATACAGAAGGACGTAAATAAATGCGGAGTATTTGTGCTTGCATACGCGTCTCTTTTAGTGAGAGGTCATCTTCCACTGTTCGACTTCACAATGGAGGATGGAAGGCGCATTAGAGACCGAATTGCACTGGACTATGTAGTATCGAGGTAAAAAAAAAAAAAAAAAAAAAAAAAAATTGTACAATTTTAGAAATGGAAAAGTTTTTTGAGACACCGCCCGCCTTTGATCTGTAGGATATTGTAGACCACTACATGTCGGATTATTATGTATAGTTTTTTTTTTTTTTTTTTTTTTTTAAGTAGTACATGAGATTGATTATTTTTGAAATTATGTTGTACACAAGACACATGTAAACATAAAGATGCAGTCCACATCTCACTAGCAGTCAAAATGAATTGAGACACCCGAGTCGGTCTTTGTGGATGATCTGATAATGAAAGTGAAGCCGTATGACAGCAGCACATGTCTCCCCATTACAACACAGTTCTAAGACACATGAAACGCGTTCTATGATTTATGATGTTGGATGTATTGTTTATAATATACGACATAATATAGTCTATGATATACAATCTATGATCCACGATGCAGGCGATATATAATCTAAGACATGTAAGAAATGATCTGTAACATTAAACCATCTGATATTTAATGTATGGTCTTATACTAAATGATACATGATCTATGATATATGAGATATAATCTATGATTTATGATAATATGTGGTATATGATGTATGATGTATGATATATGATTTATGATATATGTATGATATATAATCTATGATATATGGTCTATGATATATAATCTATGCTTTACGATATATGATCTATGGTATAAGAAATATGATATATGATTAAGGATTTATGGTCTATGATATATGATTTATGATCTATGATATATGATCTATGAAATATGATATATGATATATGATATATGATCTATGATTTATCATATATGATCTAGGATACATGATGTATGATGTATGATGTATGATATATGATCTATGATATATGATCCATGATGGGACCCTAATAACATATACGGTACACCTTCACAATATTCGGCACCAATTTAACACCAAATTTGAGTGAAATTTGACTAAGTTCAATTTCGTGTTTTTAAAAAAAAATGTCAGTTTTAACGAAATGTCAGATAGCCCCTAGTCCCACATGTCAGAGTGATGAGGGGCTGGTACAACTTTGCTCTCTGACAAACATTGTGGTGCAAACCCAACCCATAATTTGAAAGAGGCATGGAGTTCATTTAAACCACAAGTACTTTGAGAAGTTTTTTTTTAAACATCCAAGTGAGGCCTATTAGTGGAGGTGATAGGAGCATCCCCCACTAATAGGACCCCTGTAGAAGATGGCTCCAATCTATTGGTGGGGAGCTGCACCTGCTGAAAAACGGGTCCAGCGTCCTATTTTATAAAGCAGGAGCCAAAATTGAGTCGTGATTATTGTAGGAGGACAGCATTGATTGCCCTCGTGCGACGGGATTGACTGCCCATGGGCACCATCCAACCAGTACCCCTAGTCTACAGAGCGCGACGCTCCTCCCCTCCCCTGCCACGTGGCAGAAGCCCCCTGCCCGTCAAAACCCAAAACACAGACATTAGACTGAATCAGTACTCTTGAAAAAAAAAAAAAAAAAAAAAAAAAAAACTGAATCAGTACTCCTAACCTATATGAGGCGCCTTCCCACTCACACCATATGGCCAATCCCCAATGTATAAGGAGTCCTCCACTCAAGAATGTGTGGTGAAGAGTAGGGGAGAGAAAAGACACCCTCCTCGAATCCAATCAAGTGGATAGGAGTAATCCAAGTCAACTGAGGTCATGCTGAATCATCAGTGGATGGGAGTAATCCAAGTCAACTTAGGTCATGTTGAATCATAAGTGGATAGGAGTAATCCAAGTCAACTTAGGTCATGTTGAATCATAAGAAAGTCACTTTGTGCGAATGCGTCCAACGAGAAATGGGTATGGGAGACAGTAAGACGCGTTGACGCTTAGCGCTGACCTGCGCTACGGACCGGCTGGCACGGTTCAGCCATACTCCGTAGACTGGGACAATTGCTGTTCCTGGTCACTGAGGTGTCCGCCTGGCCAGTTGTTCAGGCGATGCTGGATAGTCTGCCACGTACACTAGGAGATGGTACATTAGAGTGAAGCGTCTGCTTTGTGAGATCAGACGGAGCGTTTTCAGGAACGACACAAACGACATGGATACTGATGAGGACTTGCGGCAGGGAGCGGCGGAGTGGTTGCTGATTATCGAAGACGGCGGCCGTCGCCTGCAAGAGGTCGTGGATACTCTGCTTTCAAGCCAGGGGGGTCGGTTGGGGACTGTAGGGGGGACGGTTTCACTGGCGCCATGGCTTAAGGAGAAGATGCAGGCCATGCTCGATATCATTTGGGAGTTGGAGGAGGGGCCGGCTCCTCCACTCGATGAGTTTGTGGATTGGCATCGAGCGGGCCTGCTTATGCATGGGTGCTACGACATCTTCAGAAGGGGGCAACATTGCTACGATACTCTGGAGGAGAGACTGCTGGGCAGCTTCGACGGATTGATGCCGACACTGCCTGCGACAACAATTGATGAATTTTGTGACAACAACAACTGCTACATCGACAATGGGTGCAATGACAAAGACAACAACGACATCATTAACGGCGGCGATAACGGCCTTAACTCCTACAACGTCTGCATTGATAATGATAACAATGACATCAACAATAGTAGCGGTGGTGGTGATAACATCAACAACGATATCGACAACAACAAGAAAAACGACATCAACAACGACAACAATCAGTGTGAAGATATTAATTACAACGAAGATTTCGAATACAGCTTTCTTGGGATGATGAACGAAAACTGCGGAAATAAAATTGGCGATCAGGGCGACGAGGCTATGGAGGATAAGGAGATTGACCGCGAAAGTAGGGGGGCGTTTGGAGTCGCTGTGTAGCAGCGATCGGGCGTGGGGTGGTTCGTGGGGTAGGAAGTTGCCCGGTCCTCAATTTCACCCACGAAGGGGTGGTGGTGGTTCCTCAGGCAGTAAGGGGTTTGGTTAGGGTTTCCGCCGGCTTTCAGGGTCGCAATGGATGATTGTTACATTGAATAGGATGCGTGGTTTCCAGATGGCTTAACGAGGACGATCGGCAGTAGGGATGGGGGTCGCTAATTTAGGTTCCTGTTCCTGTTCTGCTTCCCCCCAGTGTGATGAGTTGAATGGTTCATGTTTTGACGGATGGGCGGGGCAGGATAGGGTAATGAAAGTACGGTAGATGAGCAGTTAATCCCCTCCTTGGAGGGCAATCAATGCTGCTCATCATCACAGATCTTTTTACGCACACATACTACAAATCTCCACAAACTTTTTTACATGATTGAACGATTACCATGTCAAGGGACGCTGGATCCGCTTTCCAGCAGGTGTTGCTCCCCACCAATAGATGGAGCCTCCCCGACGGCGCTAGAGGTGTCTGCTTTTATCAGCACCTCTAGCTTTAGCTCGGGTTGTTTTTTTTTGCGAAAAAAAAAAAAAAAAAAAAAAAAAAAAAAAAGGTCATGTCGAATCATAAGTGGATAGGGGGAATACCGGGAGCGCTGTGCTCCGCCCCGGGTTGCGACATCGCACTGGTGGGCCATGGTGACGGTGCGTGGCGGCAATGGTGGCCATCTCTTCTGTAAACCAGGCGCTTTGCGCATGCCCAGGTGACCGAAGGCGCTTGTCCACGCCACATCACAAGCTGACGTGGCGGCTGGACTAACTCCCGTTTTTCTTCTTCTTGGAGCTCCACGTTTCGCTCCATTGCCGCTGCATTTTTGCCCGTGGCATATGGCCTGAGAGGTGTTGGCTATGTTGATGCCTGTGGAGTACAGTAAAGTCAGCCCTTGGTAAACTGTAGTGCGAGTGCAGTGGCGACTGCAATCATGAGGAAGTAGATGTGTCAGCATAATCAGGGCGCTGCTCGTCATCAGCAATGGGGCATTGATCATCACCAACACCATCATCAATAGGGCGCGGTCCAACACCATCATCACAGTAATGGTTCGTCATCATCATTAGGGTGCAGCTCGTCATCATCATCATCATCATTAACAGGGCGTGGTTCGACATCATCATCACGATAATGGTTTGTCATCATCATCAGGGTGGTTCTCGTCATCACCATCATCATCATCAGGGTACTGCGTGTCATCATTATCGAGGCGTAGGTCTTGACTTCTGTTCGACGCTCATATCATCATCATTATCAAGGAGCCGTTCATCAGGGGTGCTTCTCGTCACTCATCGTTGTATTACCATCATCAATAGTTCACCATCATAGGGCGCGTTTGGCGAGGCTCGTCATCATAGGGCGCGTTTGGCGAGGCTCGTCATCATAGGGCGCTGCTCATCCTTATCATCATCATCATCGTCATCATTAGGTTGTCATCAAAGGTGCTCGTCATCAGCACCCTCATCATCCTATTGTCATCACAGGGCGCTGTGCGTCATCATCATCATCATTACCGACATCATCATCATCATCATCATCATCATCATCATCATCAGTTTGTAATCATAGGGGTTGTTGGTGCTGCTCTTTAGTATGATCAGCATCATCATTC